ACGCATGCCAGCCCACCTGTATCAACTGCGCAGATACAAATTTTCCGAACACATAGTACAATGCCCTGCAACCATCCAGCATACGACATCCGATGCCCAACCTATGCACGGTATGTTGAGCGAATCCGACGAAGCACAATCTACGAATAACGCACAACGACCAAGTACCTCCGCACCAGCATGGACGCCACACAAAACGGAAAATCCACCCACTGAAGATCGACCAGAAACAAAAGTGGAAACCACCCAGCACCAGACACCCATACGATGCGCTCAAATTAATTTGCAGAGAGCAGAAGCTGCCTCAACCCAAGCCATACAACATGCAATACATCATAATTTAGACTTTCTTCTAATCCAGGAACCATACTGCCGTGAAGGCCAGGTGGCAAGTTTTCCCCTGGCATGGAAGATCTTCCAAAGGAAATCCACAGCAGAGCAGGCACCCAGAGCAGCCATTGCCTGCTGTAACCCTACCTGGACACCTTTCCTGGTTTCAATGGAACGAGATTTCGTCTCCGTACTAGTTATCTTTAACAATCAACAGTTCATACTAAGCTCCGTTTATTCCTCCCCCAGCGATGACCTCACTGACGCAACTACAGCATACAATCACGTTAGACTGAAATGTCCTACGGTACCACACATCATTGGAGGCGACTTCAACGCCCACAACGTCATTTGGGGCTACCGTGACACGACTCCTAAGGGCCACGAAATGGAAAACTTCATGGCGAGCAATAACCTGCATTTGCATAACAGCCCCGGTGCACAGCCGACATTTGACAACTCGTATCATAAAGGCTGGCCCGACTTGACCCTTTCAACATCGGACATTGTCAACAATATTTACTCTTGGACTGTCATGGATGATGAAAGCAATTCCGATCATAAGTACATCCATTTCCTCATTCAAGTAGACACCAGCATTAGCATTTTAAAAAGGTTTAAGCTTCCGGGTGGCAAGATTAGGCATCTGCATCGCATTCTCAGCGAAACTCTCAGAAGAGAAGAGATGGAGCTTAATACGCATAATGACCAGTATGATATGAATATCTACACAGATAATCTTCTCACCACTCTCAAGGACACATGCGAGCGAATTCTACCAATCAGGACTGCCAAGAAACTGCAAGGCATTACGTGGTGGACTAGGCAGCTGAGACAAATGCGCCAAAGGTGCAGAGCATTACGTCGCCGTCTCCGAACGGCTGTAGACGGCACAGAAACGGAAAGGTTGCTAACTGCATTCCGACAAGCACGGGCTACTTATAAAAAAGCAATTCTAGAAGCCAAAATCAACAGCTGGCGCAATTTTTGTACCAGCAATAGCAATCCTTACGGAATCCTGCATAAACTGGCCACGCAGAAAATCTTCCAGCCGGCACAAGTGCCAGTGCAGCCAGGGAATCTACCACAAACAATTGACTTAGCAGGGTCCACGGCCACAGCACTGCTTGATGCAATCTTCCCAGCGGATCCAGAACAGGATGACACGACGGCCCAGCGACTTTTGAGAAACTCCACAGAGATCCCAAGAACGCCAGAAGATGTCCCCATTACAATGCAGGAAATCACTCACATCTTCCGCCATCTACCACTGAAGAAGGCACCGGGTCCGGACGGACTTGATTATGCAATCTTAAAGGTCGCCTTCCGAGCACGGCCCACCTTCTTTCGCCTCTACTTCAATAAACTCCTGCCTGCACCACAGAGTATTTCCACAAGCTTTCAAGAAGGGACACGTGGTACTTTTTCTCAAAAAAGATAAGAACCCAATAGACCCCTGCTCCTTTCGTCCGATCTGTCTCCTTTCAGCGTTGGGTAAGATCTATGAAAAGATCATAGTTAACAGGCTGAAGTATCATATTCACAAAAACAACTTCCTCAGTCCCAAGCAATATGGCTTCCGTTCAGGTTGCTCAACCACACATGCCCTTCAACGAATATATATGATGAAGTCCAGCTTAATCGCTCACAGAATCTTCAGACTGCATTCATCTCAATAGACCTCCAGAGCGCTTTCGACACCCTTTGGTGGCCCGCCATCAAGCAGGCCCTCAGAGAGGCGCAATGCCCGGAGAACATCTACCAAGTCTTTGAGAGTTATCTCACAGATAGGCAATTACTTATGGCAAACAATAATGGCATTGTTACTAAGACCCAAGTCAGAGGCTGCCCACAAGGGTCCTGTGCAGGGCCCTTGCTCTGGAACCTGACATTTAACAAAATCCTCGAAGCGACGTGGCCTGATCACACAACTATCATTGCATATGCTGATGACGCGGCTCTCCTTGTTAAAGGTCGCACACGAGACGAAATTGAAGCCAATGGCAGCGAAGCGTGCGCCAAGTTCGCAAGCCTATGCGAAGACCTTAAGCTGAGGATTTCTATCACCAAGTCTTCTGCACTCCTCATCCCAAGACCGGGCACGAGGCCTGTACGTCGTCCCTGTATCCGATTACTTGGCCGCAACATTAAATTCATGGATACACAGAAGTATCTAGGAGTGGTCTGGGACTCTGGCTTAACATGGGTGCCACATTTGCAGCAACAGAGAGCAAAAACCTCCGCTATAGCCAGAATGACACGGAAATTTCAAGGAAGGAATTGGGGACTAAATCCCCACATTCAAAAAGTGCTTTATAGCACGGTGGTGGAAAAAGTACGCAGCTGCAATCTGGGCTCAACCGATAACAACGAGGAAAATCAAGCAGTTAACATCACTCCAACGCCCTTTTACATAAGCATCTGCAGGGCATACTGCACAACAGCCAGGAGCTCCGCCCTTACTCTAGCAGGTATAGTCCCTCTACACATCCAGGCCGAGCTAGAGGCGACATATAACGAGAGTCCTTCACTTGAGGAAAGACGCCTCCTTCGCAGGTACTCTCTACAGTCCAGCACTTTATGAGCACCCCAAGACACCGCTGCACACACACATCCAGCGCATAAAGGACTAGGGGTCCACACCCACACATCATGCAACAGCCCAACAAGGAAATACAGCACATCAGCAACCATACACTTTACACTGATGGTTCTAAACATGCTGAAGGCGTTGGCAGTGCTTTCCTGCACTGTTGGCAAAGCCAAGAATTACATCATTGGAAAGGCCACCTAGGTGACAGCAATAGCGTCTTTCAGGCAGAAGTGATAGCAATTACAGCTGCTGTTGAATATCTAATAAGCCGAAAAATCTCAAAAGCTTATCTCTATACGGATAGTATGTCTGCCTTGCTGGCCCTAAGGCAAACACAACCATGTTTCCCCGTTGATCATCCGCCTTCAAAACTCTTAAAAGATAACCCACAGGTACACGTGGACATGACGTGGGTGAAAGCTCACGAAGGCAATGCAGGTAATGAGGCAGCGGACGTGCTCGCCAAAGAGGCAGCCTCAAACATCAACGCACGTCCCATCGCTGTTCCGGCGCCACCTTCCCATCTTAAAAGACTGCTGAAAGGCGCAGCAGTCCAGTGGTGGCAAAGAGTATGGGAACATGGAAACACAGGAAGAAGAGTGTATGGTTTTCTTTCTACCGATGGTGACAACGGAGAGACTCATAGCAAACGCTCCACTTACTAACTTTGTAACTGGGCACGGTCCCTTCCCGGACTACTTCAACAGACGCACTATTTCTAATACGGATCGCTGTGTATGCGGGGAAGAGGGGACACCCGATCACTATATCTTCCGGTGCCCACTCACAGAACAGCACCATTTCCCGGAACCCACGAACATACCTGCCTTCCACAAGTTTATCCTTAAAAATAAAGCGGCAATCAACACAGTGTGCAAAATCGTTAACACCATTAAGGCCTACGGCCAAGACCTTTGCCTCCCATTATAAAACAGTGCTATTCATAATGGTCTCAGTGACTGCATTCTGCCTTAACAAACTGTGCAACAATACATACTGCATGCTGTATACCGCTAGTGTTTCACTTGTGGGTATTGCGTACATTCTGCGCAATGTGCCTAGTACTGCCACTGTAAAGTACTTTCCCTGAAACTATACTTAACTGCCACTATAACTGTGCACCTTATATGTTTTATGTGTTTAACGTAATGTTTATATATGTTTTATGCTGTTTAATGTCGTATTGTGTGTACTTTGTATCATTGTACTGTTATGTTTTGTATATTTTGTGTTGAACTGTGTTTTCTCTATGTATATTTATTTGTCATGTATTTCAAATGTGTGTGCTTAATTATGTATCATATAATGTGTAATGTGTAGTTGTTGCGTCTGGATAGGGGAGGGGTGGGACATATGCCTGTTTACCTCTGTTAGACGCCAGCGTCCCCGTCCTCCGTCACCTGTCACCTGTGTGGGTATTCTGTGTATATCCATTGTACATAAATCTTTAATGCACTATCTTCTGTTTTGTATTCTGTTAATACCTTTGTATACGTATTCCGCTCTGTATATCACATTTTTAGTGTTGTGTACTATTTCTAAAGTTGCATCATGTTTCATGTATTTTATCAATGTATTTCATGTCTCTTGTATTTTATCAATGTATTCCGTGTCTCATGTATTGTATCATGTATTTTGTCCTGTTTTATCAAGTATCATGTTTTTACTAAGCTTTTGTTCACTGTCTGTACACCCTGTAGTAAGTATAGAATCTCTAGATACCTCAGTATTCCCAATATACACTATCATGCATTGGCAATATGCTTAAGTTTATGTATTGAGTGAAGAGTACTGGCATCTAATTAAGCCTTATGTTTATGTGATTAATGTGTTGTTTTCTTTTTCTTTTTCTTTTTTTTTTTTTTCTTTTTAAATTTAAGACCCTTTCTCTTTATGTCTTGCACTTGACTATTTATGACATGCTAATGTAACCTGAACTGCAATGTAACACAATCACTCATCTGCTCTTGTTGCACTGTAAATACTTTTATTAATTTAAAGTTGCTGCTTCTACACAGGGGAAGGCGTGGGACATATGCCTGTTTACCACTGTTAAACACCAGGCGTCCCCGTCTTCCGTCACCTGTCACCTGTATTTCCTCGTGGACGACCACTACTAAACCCCCGGATAGCTGTTCCTGTAGTTTTTTTTTTTTTTTTTTCCACTTAGGATTATACACGCTTACGTGTTACCATTATTCTTCATCTATCGTATAATGTATAAGTGTCATTTTCAATATTTCATTTCCATTAATGTATAAGTGTTTAAGTGTATCATTTGTACTAATATATATGTATATCCAAGTCAGGTAATACACGAATATGTGTAACCTTTAATTGTCACCGTTCACACTGATACACAATTTTCATTCTCAGTGTATCATTTCTGTCAACGTATAGGTGTGTATGTATCATTTTTGTTGATGTGTGTATAGTCCAGTAGAATAATGTATGATTATGTGTTTCATTTATCGCCATCATTTTATGTGTTTATGCATATCATTTCTAGTAGTTTATGTATATCATATAGGATGACCACACGATTACGTGTATTCATTAATTGTCATCTTCTGCATTTTGCGCCAGTGGTCATTTCTTTAATGTATAATGTGTTTTGCCTATGTCATTAACCACTTAGACCAATATACATCCAATGTACCTATACCACCAAGGTACCTATGTATGAAACTTTTGTTAATTATACCTATTATTTTTGGGCCCCATTTCCACAATACCTATTAATGCAACCTTTCCAATCGCCAGCAACCCTTCGCCTTGTTCCTAAAAATATGCGGTAGACGACCCGATTTGTCATATTAAGCCGGGTGTCATTCCCTGTCACCTGTTCCTGTAGTTTGAAATTGTCTCCAAAGTCGCGAAACGATGCTGTGAGCATTCCGAACTCTGCAGCCACACTGTCACACTGCGGCCTTCCTCCAACTTCCAATGATTCGACCTCCGGTAAAAGCATCCAGATGTAGTCTAGCAGATTGATTATTCGCCATTTCTCGCTGAGGCAGCAACTCGGTGTGATTTTAACTGCTATGCGGCGTGCAATCTCTTTGCCAGAAATACTGATCTTACACCGACAACATGCTTTTATACTACTCAGACACTCCCCATTACGTCTATCTGCATATCTGCGCATGTGCTACCGTACATCACCTTACTTAATCACCTGATTTGTCTTTCTGTCCGCTCTGCCTTTTCGTTCAGCTGATACGCTAATTTTTCGACTTCGTCCTTAATTTTTGCACACTAGTGTATGTATAACATTTAATGTGATAATTTAATTTATTTCTTGCATATCTGCACTGTGTACTTGTGTATTTATTAACAATTATTTTAAAAGCATAAAACTAATTCGCAATTAAATCTTGTTGTTACTTTGCTTTTCTTAATAAATTGTAAGCAAAGATTTTCATTATTTTAAATCATAAATTAAAGCCTTTTTATAATGATAAAAATTACTATTGTGATAGCAGGTAAAGAAAAATACTTCTTTGCAGATCTAATACCACCATCATTAGTAAGTTGTATTAAAAATGCATCGCTCTTGCAATAATTAATTTATAATGCTTACCTCTTATATATTTTTTCTTTTTCCAAAATAAATTCAGAATGCATTGAAGATAAGTATTTTTTTTGTAATAATTAATATCAGTTTGTCTTAGTTCATGATTTCGAATTAAATTTCACTTCACTTTTGATGTACGTTTGTAAAGAATTATCATCTTCTTCCATGTTTGCTCTGGTAGTGTAACTGGTAAATTTTATTTTTTATGTTTATTAATTCTTTATGTTCTCTGCTCCAAATAAATGCCTAATATCTCTTTAGTGGTGTCTGTCTAAAATGTTCGCGGCTATTTCGATTTGGCCGACTTGGTATTGTTTCATATTGCTCAATCACTTTTTAAGTGAGATATAGTATAAGGAATAATTGCCTTCTTTTATACGTGCTCTCGTGATGCAATTGGTAACACGTCCGCCAGTTGTAAAATCCGGAATTCGAATTCCGCCAAGGGCATAAAGTTAATATTTTATTATATCTATTGCTATCTTACACATTGTAGAGTTCCTCACTGGGTAATTCTAAATTACTGTTGAAAGTGGAGAATCTTAAGAACTAGTAAGCGAATAATCGCTTGACTTCGTGTGACAGGAGACATAAAGATGGAAGGGTAAAATAACCCTTTATTATTCAAAATAAGATTTGACAGAACTCCGTCTTGGAGTTGTACAATAAAGCCGACACTTGGGCTTGGACTTAAGAGACTAAGAATTAAACTAAACTAATCTAAACTAAACAGGTATAGCCGAAGCTATCAAAATTCTAACAGAGTTGGCCCCTTAACATCAACAGATTGTGAAGCTATCAAGAGCCTAAAGTACGGCCGAGCGTGATAAGAGAGAGAGTAGCCTAAAAAGCGGGACGCATGCAGCCAGAATACTTGGTATCTCTCTCACTAAGACCGAAGAACTTCGCGGTTAAATACCGCTCTTCCTCATTATGTATTCAGACATGATTCTAAAACTACGTTCTGGCCGTAAGTGGTAAGTTGAAGTTAAGAATCCATAGGAAAGGAAATTTAGCTGTTAATAAAATTAACATAATCCTTACAACATATATGGTGTCTCACATACGTAGCGACAAACTTTTAGGCGATGTAGGGTGCATCATAAGGATTGAGAATTGCATAGCTACCCATGACCGGAAACATCATAGTTCGCCGCTAGGTTGTTCGCTGCACGAAACCACTGGAGAGGAAAGTGAGGATTTCTTCATTCAAGCGGTAGCCAACATAGTGCGAGCATGCAACGATATACTAACGGCGTGCTTTCAGTTTGTGTATGGAATAGCTGAGGCAAATAGACAAGCTAGTAACGGAATTTATAGAGAATTCTTCACAGACAGATAATCAACAGCACTACAGTGTGTTTGCATGTGTGCATCGGAGTTTATAATTATTACGGGTAATTCATATGTTAGCAGGACTAATGTTACATCTGACTGGCCAGATTGACGTGTTCGGTCGCTATGGAAGAAATTGTGTTTTTGGATGCTGTGAAGACTAATCCAAGTACCAGCATGTGTGCTATAGCCTCTACCTTAACTGTCATGCCCAAAATAACCTCGGGCACAGCACTAATATTCCAAAATGCCAAAATGCCTAATTTTTTTTGAGTGCATCGTATTATTATACCCGAATATATGTCGTGCGAAGTTTATTTTGGCTTCGATTCAACAGATGGCAGGACTTTACTGAAAGTTTCAAAGGATAGAAGTTAAAGTTCAAAGTGCGCAGCTTTTTTTTTTTTTTTTTGATTGCGAGGCAAACTTTCATTTTTAGAATTAAAAAAATTGACAATTTATGTACCCAAATTATCAAAATAACTTGACAGTTAAAAGATTAAGAGTGTTTCTTTGCTGTGTACAGCGTATTTTGAATGCCCAATTCCTTACTTGCCTTAAATATCCAAAGGGTTTAGTTACTGCTCCCTGATGATCATCCTGAACGTGCACGTTTCGGAAATTGGTAACTCCAACAAAGTGTCTAGTGAGCCGCCCAAACGGTATAGTAGTTACAGGAGCCTACTGCGATACAAAAGGGCCAGGGTTCGAATCTCGGAGAAGGCCTGGATGTTTGTAAATGTATAATGTCTG